CCGCTGGAGGGAGCAACTCTCGATCGTTAGGGATACTGGAATAGCACCGGCGTGCAGTCGTAAGCTTTTGAGTAGTTTTATAGAACAACTACGATCTAGTTCAACAATTGCGCGTAGGACTTTCGCGGTTCACGCGAAACGCGGGAGAGGATTCAACGGTGAAGTCACTTTTGGTGCACTTGTGAAAGAGGACGTGAGGACTACATTGAGTCGAATGGCGTACTGCTACAAAAATGGCTGGGGGCGGGTCTCGGTTTGGACTGCTTCTGTCGCCCTCTTGAGAACAGATGGGAATCTTTCGAATGTGTATCGTCCTCTTATGTCGCAACGAGACAGGTCCTACTTGTCATATGTTGATAGCGGTACTATTTCAATTGGCATCCCTAATGCGGCAGATCTCATCGAACGAATTTTGGAAAGTACGAAAAGAGAAATGGGCAAGTTTTCGGAGCAGTATTGGAAGGTCGAAGAGACAGGGGAAAAGTATTTGATTATAGACGAGAGAATGCGAAAGTATTTGCCGACTTTGGCGTTTCGTCTGCAGAACGAAGTAGGTTTTTCTTTGAAAATCGAAGGCCGAGACTACACTGTATGTGGAAGAGGTGGATGTTTTGTGAGAATAAGAGATAGTGGATTGAAAGATCGAATTTTATTCGGAATTCCACTGTTCCGTGCGTACGATGTTCATGTTGATTTTGATAAAAGAAGAATAGGGTTCGTAAAAAACAAGATTTTCGAACCATAAAAATACATGGTTGAATTCATGATGTTTTTTTTGTGAAAAGAGTATCCTTTTGTGTTGTGACTATTTGGGGGAGAGGAGATTTGTTACAATGGATACACTTCTCGATGTGAGAGAGGATCCTTCGGTGGTAATAGATTTATACACATGTATTTGACGTGATAGATTATACGAGCCGTGAGTGAAACGTTTCCACAGCATCAAGCAGTGAAACGGGGAAACCCGAGGACCGGGCGAGTTGGTCTGAAGGATGGAGTAACTCTCATCTGACCTTCTTTCAAGCTTATAAGTTTGGACACACCGTGTGCTATGAACTGATATCGGGAGTCGAATTATACTCACGTACTTGACATACGAGCCGCGGTAAAAACGTTCATCAACAGCGTAAAGGAGTGGGAGAAACGATGGAGAGGTTGGGATGCATTTTCGGATTCCTCAGCTCCGGAGTTTCCCCACAGCTGAAAATTTACACGCGACGTAGGACTCAAAAGCACGATAACCAACAGTAAACTCGCCTGAAATATCACTCGCCTTGTGATGAAAATGCGGTGATAACCTAATTTCCCATCACCTAGGGGAAACGTCGTGCCTCAGGCTGACCTCTCTCGTATCATTCGGAAATATACTTATTATTTTTTATCGAAAAATTCGGAAAATTTGTCCCCCGCATCTACTGAAGAGGGCTTCAAAGTGGAACAAATTTATTGGGGAGAAGATGGACGGATGACCAAACGAGCGTATTCGTTTTTTCTCCAAATCTGCGTTGGAGAAAAATCCATGAGTTATCGCACTGTTGTTATCTGCCATAATTGACCTTCGAAGGGGAAAAGTCTCAAGTCTAATAATCGACCGATTTCAATACATAAGTTATGCACACATATATACTCTAGCATTGAAGAGGTTCTATTGTTCTTGTGGTCCTAAACTTGGTTCTAGTTTTTAATGGTTGACCATGCGCTATCTCAGAGTCGTAGAGAGGTGCTCTCGACCCTGCATCGTGAGCGCGTAAACGTGTTGGTGGTGACCTTCTGCAGTTATGCGGCTCTGCATGCGGCACGGAAGGCTTTCTCGAACTCGAAAGCGGTAGTATAATGGGGGGGGGGGCTGGTTGGAATCTTATGGTTGAGCGGCTAGGATTCAAAATAGGTCAGATCGGTATTATGTAAAATCGCCCATTTGGGCGAGATGAAATTTTTGACAAGTTTGGATAGGATTCCTATCCAAACTTATCAAAAATTTATATTGGATTCCTATCATAGGAATAACCCCGACGTTTTCTAAGACGTGGTATATAAAAAATAATAGCGGGAAAAATTGTGATTGGATTTTATTCTGTTTCTGTGAATTAATCTGTGGGTTCTGATTCAATTTAGAATCAGTCTAATAAGACTATGTCTCTAGTTAAATGAAGAATTTTCGCCCGACGCTGCCCATGTTCTATAATCAGACTCTTCAAGATGCCCGACCGGACTCTTTCCCAACAACGACCTTAGCTGCTTTGGATACCATGTTTATGCTCTCATATTCATCTGGGCTTCTCTTAGCGGGAAGACTCGGAGATGTGTTTTCGGCGTCTACTGTACTTAGTGTTGGCCTGGCATTGACTGCCGTGGCGCAAATGGTATTTGCTGTATTGTGCGTGTTGAGAACAGCGGCGACTTGGGAGTTCAAAATAGCTCTGTATTGCATGTGGATACTTAACGGTTTGGTAGTAGGAGGGTTTGGTATTTCTGCGGGTTTTCGAGGAAAGTCTTGGGGGAAATTCGAATCGAAAAGAATTCCAAGGAGAATATCAAGTCACATACAAAATCGCTACTTTATTGAAATGGAAGCAGTAGTGGACATCGGGTCGCTTGTTTGTTCTTCGAATGATATGTTCGGTTTGTCTTCTTTTCTAGCGTGTATAGTGAGAATTTGGATTCATAAAATATAGAGATCCGAATCGGATTAGAATTAGTTGTTAATAGTCTATCGCTGTACTTTTTATAGATTGCAATTTATATTTTCCGTCGAATTTTTTTCAGGGTGATCGTGACATACAATTTCTCATACAATGCGTGCCAACTTGATACGAAAGTGTTGGAAATGCGCGCGCTATTCTGTCGGGTTTTCAGGTTCAGTCGTTATGTTGGCCAGCCTGTGTTAAGCTGGTGGGAAATTGGCTTACGCCCGTGCACCATCTCATCGATGATGATGACAATGCTAGCACTACTTCTGAGGATTCTGATCCGATCAGTATTGCTGACGGCCAGATAGGCATCGTCAGTCCAGCACATTCTGGCATGTTATTTGGTTTGTGGTCGAGTAATGCTAGTGTTGGTAACATCGTGGGCGCTCTGATGGCTGCGGTCGCGCTGGGCATTGCAGGAGCGTATTCATTTATGAAGGGAATAGAGGTAGGCGGAGGGAGTGTAGGGAATTTATGTGTTCGAGAAGATTGAATTATGAGAGATTTTACAGTAATTCTGATAACTTTGATCATCATGGTCTTGGCATGGGTATGAGTTATTAGAGTTTTATATTGGGTATCTACGGTATGGATAGAAATTTTTTTGTATGTCGGGAAGACGACATTGCGTGAATTAGCAAGCGCTGTTATCATTAGCATTTGGTTCCTTCTACTAAAGAACATGTTAATGATGAAGTCACTGCACGGTAGTCTGGCCAGTTCATGGGATTTAAATTTTTGAAATCTTGTCCGCACCGTTTCTACATGTAGGTTCTCCTCGTTTTCGTGGGACCGTCCGTATTATTGTTGCTTTTTGCCTATCGCTCGAGCAAGTTGAAGGACTTCCCATCAGCTGCAGGATTTAACGAAGGAATGGTAGATACTGGCGAGAGGCTTATGAAGTCATGAGGAGTTTATGTTAGCATAACGTTGGATTGGTTGTTGTTCCTGTATAACCTGGCTCATGCTGTTAATGCTATACTTTTAAGCTAGTTTTGATGTGCGAAAAGAATATTCCGATAATGATGTAGTTCTCTATTTTTTAATAGACTCACCGTGCATACATCTGCTATGAAAACATTGGAGTTCCACCCGTTTTACGTGAAGTGGTGTAATACTCTGTGAGAAACCCGATATTTATGGTATGCAGCAGTCCGACTGCTGCAGTCGTGATATATATTTTTCACCGGTGTTTTTCATATCACGGGTGAAATTCCAATGATATACAGTAAGAAAGTCTTAGTTTGACCGAAAAAAATGATGAACGTGGATGTGCTCATGTGGATCGTCTGTGTGGGAATTGAACCGTGTGGTAGCTCCCCCACTATACTAGATATGTTGTACTGAGGTTAGGTTACGACTATGCCCGCGACTGGTGTATCGTTACCGACCTTGGAAGCTTTGTTGAGGGGTCTGGGGGAAATCTGGCACGCCTTCTGGTTACCATTCGTCGCCCGATATTCTCTTGTCTATGCTTGTACGAAGGGCGTCAACTATGCAATGTTTTTCTGGCTTCCCTTCTATCTCAGCGAGGTGGGCCCATTATGTGTCAAATCCTGCTGTGTTCGAAGCGAAAGCGCTCGCTTCAGAGTGATTCTGTGATTAGGTTTGTGAACTCGATCCGGGATTGGCTGATGGTCTATCTGTATTTTATGATATAGGACAGTGCTTGGGCGGGGTTATCGCGAGCTCCGTTGTAGACAGAATGGCTAAGGGGAAGAAATCCATCGTATGATCGATTTGAATTTATCATTGAGGAACCGTCTTCAAGGAAATTTGTGCAGTAGTGATTTTGGTATAATTTCGTGGCGCGTGATGGAATAAAACCATCCGAGGACTTGCATGTTGTTCTGATCATATTGCTGGTTTGCAGGTGATTACCTCATCTCTTCTTCTGGCGGTGATACGAATTCTAGCGCTGAGCTTAAGGCACAGCTCAATCGTATCCGTTACTGTTATTATCTCCATAGCGGGGTTGCTGGTAAGGAAGCTTGTGGTATCAGCACAGCGATAGCGGTCTCAGCTCGGTTAATCCGTGAGTCCTCGATCCTCGGTTGAGCATCTTTGCACGAGATGCTACTTGATGCAATCTGTGAGTGATGAAGTTAGTTGGAAAGCGAGATACAGACTGGAATGTAGGGAAACCTCTCTGAGAGTCGTTATCTGTTACATAGGGAATTCTGAATCAGAAATTTTGATGATGATCCCTTGATACAGCAGCGAATAAGCTAGAGGGTTTCATGCAATTCGTCTCTGCAATGGAAAAGGGCGATAGAAAAAATGTGTATGTCATACGTAGACGACATGCGATAAGGTCATGACCTTGCTTTTCCGAAGCCTAGTGCTCTTGCTACTTGCTGCAACAATCTCCTCAAGATTGGCCTTGGCTTGCCCACCTGCACTCCAACTGCCTTTCTGTATCTAGCATTACACGTGCCTGTGGCCAGTGCCATTCATCTGAAGAGGTCCCTCATATCATGGAATACTATTTTCCATTGTGATGCAATTCATCGGTGTCTCTTATCTGAAACAATGGCCGACGAATCCTCGGAGATGTGGCATGGGTTTATTGCGTTTGGTAGTAAAG